AGTGCTGGGATTAAAGGCGTGCGCCACCACCGCCTGGCAAGACTCATTTTATTTTATGTGTACAAGTATTTTTGTCTGCACATACATCCATGCATCATCTGAGTGCTTGGTCCTTTTGAAGGTTAGAAGAGGGTATCAGATCCTCTGGAACTAGAGCTGTGGCTGGCTGGGAGCCACCATGTGGGTGCCAAAACCAAACCCACATCCTCTGGAAGAGGACATTTTATTGTTGGGGAACATGGTTTCCAGTATTTTTATATGTCATAAGGAATCACATAAATCATCAAAACAATACAGAATAAGCTGTCGCTGCAATTTTTCAAAATAAGGGGAAAGATGGCTAAGTCCTGTGGGACAGGAGGGGACCACAGACTCAGTAGCAGTATTTGGGTTTAGTTGACTACACTTTTATAAGCATGAAGACATCTTCCCCTAAGCTATATATACGGGGGAGAAAATCTTTCCTACTTTTCTATAATGTGCAAATACATACATACTGGATAGACAGCTCAGTGTTCAAGAGTATATACTGTTCTTGAATTCAGTACCCCGCACACACATCAGAGCTTACAACTGTCTGTAACTCCAGCACCAGAGGAATCCAACGTCACTGGCCTCTACGTGAATGTGAACTAATGTGGCTATACCCATAATTAAAAAACAAAAGTAAATCTTATTAAAAAGTGAAATATGCCTCCAATTTAAACTGTCATTTAAAATGAAGATAAAACTAGAGTAAACTGGGTTCTTGTATCTGCTCTTGGACATTGCCACAGATACCATCTTTCCATTGCTCCTCATTAACTAAAATAGCAAATTGTTAAAAATACCTTATCCCTTACAATGTCAAACAGTGTGTTACTCTGGCATCTTAACCTTATTACTATTAATACTTGTTAGTTCCATAAAAGATAAAAACATCGAGCCATAGGAGACCCTGCTGGCCTTCACAGACCCTGCTGGCCTTCCCAGCCTTTCCTCTGAGCATGCTCCTGAAGGACACTGCGCAGGAGCTAAGGACCCAGCCCCTTTCTGGAGCACACCACACATACTTGGCCTGTCCCCCTTGTAAATGTGCTGTGCCCGGTCCCCAGGGACAGATCCGTATTCCTGACTCAAGTGAAGGAAGTGTGGTCAAGCAAACCCTTCCCAAGGGTTTCAGACTCCACAAACAAATTCAAAACCAGGACGTTATCACAAAAATATTCTGGAAGGACATCTGGCATTTGCTGCCATCTTTTTAGATCAAAATAAATCTAAGTCAATTTTCATCTGGTTTTCTGGCCCCATATCCAAAAATGCAGCCACCAAGGGGGTTTCCTAGAGTTAAGAATATGGCAAACTCATTTTCCAAAATGAAAATTAAACGGGGTTCGCTCTCTTCCATGCTGCCTCATCAAAATGATGTCCACATAAGAAAATGTTCTCACACCGTACCGAACAGAACATTGCCATTCGGGCATCGGTCCCAGCAGTCAGAAGAAAAGACTCTCCAACGTGGACTGGGGACAAAAGGCCACCGTACGCTGGGGACTCCCTTGCAAGTAAGTAAACTGCAAACCAGTCTCGTAGGTAAGTGCTAGGCATTCACACTGATACTAAACAAAGCATTTAAAGTTTCCAAACAACAGTTCTTTATACAGAGTTTCAACATATCTAGTGGATACCTATGTTTTAAACTAACAAAAAGACAATCTTTGCTTATAAAGAAAAAAAGATACAAATAAAAAAGTAAATTCAACACACTAAGGATATGAAAGCGTCAATTTAAGAAAAAAAAATTCTAGTGTCTTCTATTTTGTTTTTCATTTACCCTCTGCTTCACATGAAGTAGGTCAATTTCCATATAAGGTAAACCTGCTCGACCCAAGCATGCTCACTAATTAAAGACTAGATTTACATACCCCTTAGGTTCCCACATTTTTATAAGGAATCTGAACACACAATTCCTTAGGTTCATTGTAACAGACACATCAGACTATAGTTTATAAAATGTGATTTGTGGTAGCAGAATATATTGAGGCAGACTCAGTTAGGACAGCAAATCTATTCTTATTAGAAAAGGATTATTCCATGAAAAGCAGCCACTGTGAAAAGTCGACCTCTCCAGAAATTCAGGAAAGAAAATGTAAAGCACTTCGCCAACAACATCTGAACAGAGCAGAGCTAAAAAAAAGGCAAGAAAGTTGTCAGCCGGGTCTAAGCCCCTGTTAATCCAAACAACAGACACACATATATATACCTTTGTCCTCAGCCATTCTGATTTCTTCAATCCATGCATAAAATACACTGAGGGGAAAGACCTAAGGCGCTCCCAGGAGGTATAGGGCACCCAGCATGCCCTTTCCTGCTAGAACCGTGACTGCTAGTCCTCCTGGCCAGGGGCTCCAGAGTTAAAACTGGACCTGTCTGTGGACTGCTCACCAGCTATTTTTAGAGGCCACTTCCTCACAGCCACATGCTGCTAATCACTCAGGCAGACTGCACTCCTGACAAGCCGACAGCCCTTCCCACTGGGGATGGATCCCCTGCTGGGCTGGTTCCTATCTCCTGTAACTCCAAGCTCTGAAGGATGAAGCAGCTGGAAGAGCACGAAAACAAACTGTACCACCAGTGTGGTTTTCTTTGGAACAGGCTGCAAGGGCCTCAGCTTTAACACCAATCAGTCAGTAATTAAAGGAGCCCACGCGTGGCCCCAAGCCCAGAGCCAGCATCATCTGGCCCTTCAGAATTTTAATCATCTTTGTGGATTCCTGGGAACTTCCCCAGCACCAGGTTTCTCCCTATCCCCATGATGTCTCCCTCTATCAAGATGTCTCTTTCACTGCTCTCCCACTCTGTCCCTGTTCCAGCTCGACCATCACATTCCCTTATGTTCTCATCCCCATCCCCTACCCTCTATTGCTCCCCCTACCCCCAGTTTACTCAGGAGATCTCATCTATTTCCCCTTCCCAGGGCTATCCATGCATCCCTT